ATTGAAGTCGGGGCTTGTGGAAGGACTACAGAACTCAGTTACGGTGTTGTTATACACAAGAGATTGTGGTACACCTTGCGTCCCCCTTCGCTTGCACACTAAGTGTGGGTACTTTCTTCTTGGTTTTTCTTCGCCTACTTCTCACATGCACAAAGCCTGCAAATCGTCCTTGTTATTAACGGAGTGAAAAACGCCATCCCACGGGTTATCATTAACAGATGACGGTAAGATCATCAACCTGCTCGTATCCGAAGGGTTGCACAAACCCTCAATACTCCGCATGTCAGGTGCACCAGCGTCTTCAAGGCTAGCTACGATTGCATTCTGTTTCCGGTCTACATCAGGTAACAAGGTAAATAGACTTACAACGCGTGGGTCGTGCGCTGTATATCTGCTATGAGGCTAGACAGCCAACCCTAGATGGTCGGTAGAACACACAAATTTAAGCTAGGGAAAATGTTTATTAAACGAGAGAAAATATAACTAATGCTAAAAATAGGACGCGAAGAGATATCTAGCTAGGAAAGATGTATCCATGCGTCAAGTGCGTAGGTCGCGGTCCGAACCAGTGCGATTCCGGAAAGTTCGTACTGCTAGAACGAATGTGATTTTTATGTTTAAAACATACGGGGACAACGCCCCTACAAGCATGGGGCCTACTTTCCTAATACATAAGAACACTATAATTTTATAATGTTTTAAGACATATTTCTTACGTATCTCACCTGTGAACAGACAAAACTTATTCACAGCTATTTTCTCAAGGAACGCGTTCCCCGATCCGCCATCAGGCGACAGGTGATGCAGCGTACAGCTTCACGGAACCAACCAGTGGTCGGTTCACGGTCCGAAACGATTGACATTTGGTGCTAATATTTCCAGCGTTACTCGTCAGCTTTGTAAACTACTCTCACGTTAATATCATCGATCTGCTCCAAGTCGAGAGTTCGATCATCTGGACGAGACTTGATAACTTCTAAGTCGTGTCGGCTGTACGCGGCCTCCATAGGTTTGCCAGCGGCGAACTTTACAGCGAAAGGTGATAATGGGCATCCGTACCTCACACCGCTGCACAGAATTGCGGACACCTTTGATGTCGATGAACACAATTGTGGTCGGTTTCCAGTGCACGTCACGACGCTCCAGCAACTGCGTTAATGTGAAGATGTAGTTACTAAAGTCTCTCTTCACGAAACTGACTTTCATGGCTGCCTGTGATAAACAACAGCGACAGGCAACTTAAATAAACTGAAGACCAGAGTGACTTCTCTCTTATTGTTGCATTCGGAGCATGAGCTCTGTTGCAGAACTCAGTCCTTCAGGGACAAGCGTTTATTCGGCAAAGAATACTCAGCGAAAATCACAGCATGTTTGGTAAGCCAAACTCCTCGATATAAGTAGTACGTTCAACTCGATAACTAAACTTTGCTGAATCAATGAGGTTCCTCCTTTGGTTCAGTTAAACAAATGGTGGATCACTCACACGAACATCGGCCAATCCGAGTCCAGACATCGAATCCATCATGCCTGCCTCCCATTGGCTGTCTGGTTGGTCCATCTGCACACTCTGATCTGATACTACCATCACATGCTCCTCCTGATCACCGGGATCATCAGAGATCATCCGTAGTCGGTCGGGACAGCTTATTGTTCTCACCGTTTCACTAATAAGCCGTGCAAATATTCCATAGAGGCTGGTTCCCCGGGAATCGTCCAGCACATGATGTCATACAGAGCTGGGAAAACGACGTACGGCATATAGTATCTTCGTTTGGCACTCGCGCAATGGTTAGCTTACTGCCGTGACTCGGACAAATTGGTAGATTCAAACATCCAGTGGCTTTCCCCTTCGTACACAAGCAAGAATTTTGATCCAAAAATTATTGATTATGTTGATCGTGATGTACTAGATTTCTTAACATAGTGAAGGAAAGATGTCAGTCCTTAATTGTCAGTTATGAAAATAGGGTATGTGTACATTTGTACACTATTTGAAAATAATCTATACTTGTGTACCTTTGTACACGTCGTGTACGAACGGATTATACTGTGTCGAACGAAACGGGGGTACTGCTGCCTCATAAGTTACTAGATCAGAAAAAATAAATAAATCGGACGATATCCAGTCAACAACGGACCAAACCGATGTCTGAACACAAGGCGTACACTTGGTGACCGCAGTTGGGTGTGCACTAAGAGGAAAGCACAGAAGCATTGCTTGACAATGTCTCGAACAGGAGCGCGCCACGCATTCTCCAGGAAGGTGTTCTCAGATGAGGGGGAATTGCTTGCGGTCGGATCTAATGCATATGGTGTATGGTCGTTCCCTCAATAACCAAATACGTTCATACCTTCCCGGTTCTTGCAATAGTCCTCTTTGGGTTCTATGTTACTGGAACTGTATCACAGCGTAGTTAATACCTCAAGATTTCCTGAATTTCAGAAAGGATGCAGGATTTATAGCGTATTAATCCACACATGTACCTTTTGATAAGCACCACAAGTAGTCTATCATTGTTGTCTATCTGAAACACAATTAGAACATATGAACCGGTCGAACCTGCAAGGGACATGCGTAGCCTGCAGTTCACGAGTAAATGGGATTGCTTGTACATTCTCTGCTTACGCGCAATGCGCCCCATTTTCACCTTTCATTTTGATTACCCTGCGCTTGGTAAATGTCAAGTTTTATCGGCTTCACGCGTAACCAGGTGCCTGGAGGGGATCAAAACCAGTCAGAAGAAACTAACCAGTAAGTGTCTGGAACCTTCGAAATGTTGAGATTATGAGCTTGTGAGAAATACGAGTGCCATCTGGTCACATGGCCACGTCCCGACGAACCACAATCTGCTTACTAATCCTATCTGATATATATATATATATATATATATATATATATATATATATATATATATATATATAGTCTGTGGTACAGTTATTGCTCCATCGGAATCATGGCTTAATGGGAAACGGTCTGATTAATAAGAAAGTAACAGCAACATGGAAAGCTTTTAGTCCGGTTTGTCACTCAAAGATTTTGGTCTTCTATAGTTTATTTTTAGAAGGATAAAGAGGGACACAGCAACACAACGATACCCCTTCTCGGCCACTGACGTCGATCTTGAGCCATGGCTTCCAAGGTCCTCAACCTGCAATTATCCCCATCTCTCGAACCCTAACCCGCCGAGACCAACTGTTTCATTAGCTTTTTTATGCGGCTTCTCCAAGTTGCAGGCTGTCCACCAGGCCGTCTCTTCCAGCACTGTCCAGCAACCGCAGACAACGCACAACGCGGGTAATGCTGAACAGGCATGCGCAATGCGTGCCCCAGCCACCGCAACTGATGCAGTGAGACGAGCTCCTCGAGCCAGTGGCTTCCTCGTCCCGAGACACACTAACTTCCACGTTGCTTACGTGGTACCGCTACCACACACGGGCAATGGACCGCAGACAGCGGTGCTCGAAGACAGATAGTCTGTGCAAGTCATCTTTACAAATGGGCCAGGTCTCGCATCCGTACAACTGTACATTCACGAACAGTTTGCACAATAAACCCGTCCTTTGATGGAGAGACGAATGTTATGGCAACGCCACATACGCTTCGGTCTAGAAAAAGCGAGGCGTATTCTTGAGATGCGTATCGAAATCTTGTCTCCAACAGCTCCGCCAGCAGTGGTGCAATTTCCCAATTTAACAAAACTCTCCACAACTTCCAGTGTCATACCACCAAGAGTGAGTGCAGACATAGGTACCTGCCAGTCTTGAAAGAGAGTCTTGCATTTAGATAGCGAAAGTGCATGTCATACTTTGGTGCTTCAATGGTCATGCGGTTTAGTGCAAGTTGGATGGCGTGTGGATCGTCACCCAGCAAGACGATATCATCAGCATAATCCATCTCAACAACTAGACTACCTGGGAGGTGCTCAACGTCAACGTTCAACGAATCGCCCAAAGCGCACTTTAGTACATCTCAATGGCAAAGTTGAAACGGAACGGAGAGATAGGGCATCGTTGTCGAACTCCACTAGAGACCACAAAGGTAAGCGAAAGCTTGTGATAAGCCCTAACCCTGCCCGAGGTCAGACTATAGAGAGCGCACAGTATGGAGATGAGCTTCTTGGGGACGCGGTTCCTCAGCAGGCAGTGCTACAGTACAGTCCGATCGACGGAATCGAAGGCTGCACGGATAGATAGGAGCACAGCAATCGTTAGCCTCCGATACACATGGCGGAGCTCGAGGATCTGGCGGTGTGTGAAGATTTGATCGATGTAGCCGCGACCAGGGAGAAACCCAGCGTGTTCTCGCTGCAACGATTCGCGCGTTGCGGATAGCCTGCGAAGTATGATGGACACCAGCAGCTTGCTGTGTACGCACTTCCGTCTCCTAATACACGATTGCGTTAGCAGCATTATTGCATGCTTAGGTCGATGCTGCATGTACCAGTCTTCTGCAACTCGATTGAGTTCAACCGCTGATGTATTTTTTTCTTTGCGACAGCCTCTGTATGTTCTGCAGGTGGCTCAAGCTCTTGCTTGTCTCCAGTCCATCCGATTGATGGCGGCGTGGCGGTGACGGTGTATTATACACTGCTTCATGTTCTGTTGTGTTTGACGGTTAACGAATATATCAGTCATGATTTGCTATCCAAATCTTGAGCCTAGTTTGTTCCGCGCCTGATTTTGTACATCTTACATGAACTTGGTTTCCCGCCAAACGTCGCCGCACGATTTTTCGGCTTTGTGTTTGTGCTTTCGTTTATGTTGGTGCCTACAACACTAGCGGCAACATAACTGATACACATCGTTCCATAATTACCACCCTAATCTTCCCTTCGCATTTGGCGTTTTTTGCTTACTCCTTCCGATTTCAACAGGTGGAAGCTGACCTTGTTTTCCGGATCTGAGTTATGAATGGCATTGATTCTGTTGTTACCATTGGATTTCACCTGTATGTCCATTCGTTCTGAAGTCCTGTCCTTTAACATTCCGTTTTATTTCAGCAAGAACGACGGCTCTTCAGCCATATGCACCGGCAAGTATTTTGCCTTATGGACCGTTGGTATGGAATGACAATGGAAGACATACGCCGCCTTGAGGATGAAACCAGATTGGAATTGGAAAGAGTAAGTTAACCGATTAATCGAACCACACCATCCAAGCTGAGTGGTCTTCATTCACTTTCATTTCATGCCATATTCATCTGCGAAACACTTCTGATTTTGGTATCGAGACATTGTAAAGGTGAATATGCATCACCGATAAGCACACGCTTGCCTCATGGCTTCCACTGTTTCTCAGGTGCTTTACTAACTCACTTCATGCGGCGCACATTACTGATGTGGTTCAAATTTGGATTCGGTACGCGTGATTGTGGTTTTTCGTTCAGCCATTTCCCATACACCGATTGCTTGCACGATTAGCGCTGGGCACATTACCAGGATATGATGTTCTGCTTCTCTGCGGATGATATCCACTCTCGAAGTGCCGTCTATCGCTCTGGAGCAGTTTCTCTATACGTTGTGTCACATTTAACTTCTTATCTGCCCTTCTTCACCGTGAACAGATCGTTCACGTACATATTTCCGGCATTATTCGCATTTTGGCTTCAATGCGCCGCCCCATTTGACGTGTTATCACGTCATCGGGGACTTTGAGCTAAAGTATGTTAGGTCATATTCGAGTGTGATTTGCATTGAAACAAAACGGCATTCATCCAAACTAGTCGCATGAAATTTTCTTTTGTGTCTGCTCTCAATCTCGGCCCCCAAACATCGGTTGGCTGCTCGTTTGATCGCGCATTTCAGACTCCTGGTTGCTAGTCAGGCCACCTCTAATTGAAAACCGCAACTGGTTATGAAGTGTCTTGTTGACAATGTACAGCGGCAAAATATTATCCGTTTTGATCAGCATGAACATCATTTGTTCATCACACCTGGTCCCAGTCTAGACGACATGTGCGCTCCAAGGTAGACTCTGCCTTGTGTTAATGAATTTCGTATCGTTGTTTTAGGGCGGGCTCGTGAGACCGCGTAGCCGCCTTACAGCCACCAGCCCAGAGACTTCGACTTCGAACGAGCAACTGTCATTGTGAGTCGGGGCACCTGCGAAACCACTTTTGTGCTTTAACTTTAGGAACGCGCAACAGAGAATACCCCGTTATCCGTTTCACACTTCGTCCTTCATCACTTCGATCTTATTTTAAATGCTTTTCCTCGTCGTATCAGGGAAGTGAATAGCGCTGACCGCATTGCACACCTGACAAGCGTGTACATCCATGGAACGGATGCTCCAGTCTGTCAATCAGCTGCTTCTACTTTCCAAACACGTTTTTGTGCCTAGGGGCATGAACGTTAACCTGATGATGCTGATTTCTTACTTTATAAAAGTGTATGCGATACTTTACCATGCACCCATTATTAAATCCTTCGTTATGCCTCTCCTCTCTGGTTTCCTTTGTTCTGTTCTATTTTAGCAACGAAAGCACGGGAGTATTCGGGGTCACAAAGGAGACGATTGAGAGCTCTCTTTCCGTGTGTCTTTACAATCAAACTTCTCTCCACATGTTAGAGCTCCCTGAAAGGGAGCCTTCTCAGTGCACCGCAGTCGACCATCACTTCCCGTGCAAGTGTTCTCTTTTCTTGCATTGGATCCTTCATGATGGTTACTCTTCCCCTCATGACCTGATATTTTTCTCTATATTTTCAACGAGCCCATATTTCGGCTGGTACTACGTCAACTTTTCATATGCAAGGAGGGCTCACTTATCTTCCCCAATTTTTGCCAGCCAGTTCAACTTCGTCTTGAGTTTAAACCGAATGCTTGTCCCGTTTATTTTATCTTTCTATGCTTTACTTTACATAGATTGCAATGAATTCCCTATTCTGCTGACCATCATGTCACCTTCCTGGCTTAATTTACAGGAATTCCAGTCGTTCCCTAACTACCATATGCTGGTTTTTCTCCTGTTCTTAAATGCAACACGGGCTCGCTTGTGCAACTATATTTAATACTCTGCGTTATTTCTCACGACAATTTGCTCATGTTGTTAGCTTTTTGCATTGGGTTTCCATTTCTTTCCCCGGAAAAGTTTGGCCACAGTGTGATGTATATTTTTATCTTAATGATGGAATGTTCGATTCGAGCCTTTTTATTCTCCCCCCCAAAGTCATCCTTGTACAGCGGACACATGGGTCGACAGACTGTTACCAGTACTCTTCTCATCCGCGACTGACATAGTGCGTACTGTTGCGATAATCCACATAACAGCTCGAACGATGTTTGTCACGGATTTATTGAATCTCCAAAAGTCTATTCCATTGGTGCCTAACTGTCTGGACTTTTCTCATCCCCGACTCCGGCTTTTTAGCCGTAGAATCTCAACGAAGTTGTCTTAAAACGTTTATTCTTAGATTGGATAACATAGGTTCCTCAAGTTAGTATGACATTTTCCTATGAACCACATTGCATGTTGCGGCGATTGGCAATTAAGTTCCTCGTCCGCATCATATATTGCTCTGAAAGACTATGTATCTTTGAGAGCTCTGCTTACTAAATATGTCCAACCTGGATCTACTCACATGAGCAGTTAGTGAATGGTTGTCTGGGTAAACGCTTTCCTAAAGTTAATTGTTTTTTTTCTCCGGATTACAATTATGGTGAATCACACTACACAACTGGCCTTTCACCTTTTTCCACCTAGTCCATTTACGCCGAAAGCTGGTCAGGTGTTGTGCTGTCCGCTTGCAGTGTTTTCATTTCGCCATATGCAACCTTCGAATGAAGTGTCATTTCCGTATGCGTAGGGCAACTTTGAAATTATGCCCCATCTCATTTGCAGTCGTGAAGCCAAGCACCTTTTTGGCGAACGCACAAAGGTGGTACATTAGCCCTTCAGTTTAGTCACCACGGACATCTACTGGAATCTGCATAATCCTCCTACATAGTTGTCCGATGTGCACTACCGAACATCTTACTATGTTTTTATTTCAATCATTCTTGTGCCATGGACATCCTGTAAACGTACATTAGGGCACTTCTTCCGGCTCAGCGGAACTACGATTAACAGTCTGCTTCTTTGGAATGGGCGACTTGTGTTCTGAAGCTTTGTTTCATTTTATCTTTATTCACCTATCATGTTCGTTAACGAAGGAGCACACTGTTCACTGTATATATTCGCTTTACCTGAAAGTGTGTGAAAGCGTAAACCAAATCATTGTTCGGTTTTAATGTGCCTACTGTACAGCCTTAGGCAGGTAGCTGCGGATATCATTGCATTAGACCAACGACGTTCAGTCTTAATACGTTTGCTCTGTTATGCTTCTTCAGTTTGCGCCATCACCTAGTTGATCCTGCTCATTTGACCTAACGAGGGTTTTCAAGTGCTTTCAGTCGTTTGGGTATGCTCTCTACAGATCATTCCTCGACAATTTGCTCTTCCGACGCTTTCAGTGTTGAAAATCACGTGTGCAACTTCCTCACTTCTTAGGTGGATAAGGCTACTTTTGATCTCAACTGCAAGACTACTCTGAAAGCTCTATGAGGCAGGTGTAAGCAAACGTACCTATACAATCAGTGTCGCACTGTGTGCGTTCCGCCTGGGTCCAAATTCATTTGAAACCCACCAGAATCTCGCATTCAGCACGGCCCGATTGACAAACACGCACATGTAACCCCTGTGTCCGCGCTTGACATCTCATCGTCTACATCAGACTATGTGACTGGATTCTGGACGTAACCGGAATGCGGCAACTACGTGTGTAATATGCGTCCGGTCGAGGATTTTGAGCGCTTCCTTGTCCGATGTGTACGTTGACCATATTAGAATTGGAGGACTGCAATGAAAACAAACACCTCATGAGGTTGGATGAAGTTGTCGCAGCAATCTATTGCGATACTAAACTGGATGTAGCGCGCGCCTAGCTAACACGTGACGACCTGGTTGCCATTATCACAGCTACCGGACGGATCGAATCTGAGCTGACTGGACGGTGAAAACAAGCACGGGTGATGATTTTAAACGAAACGGGAAGATAAGGAGAAGAGGAATCATCAATGTCTGTCTAACCGAGGTACAAAGATCTCCCTACCTTCTGATCGCTACAACTTCACGCCCGGACTTGCCACAGCGTGCACCTGAAATCTAAGGATTCATATTTTGTCTCGTGTTTTCACAAATAGGGGCTTCTCCCCGATATTAATTTGTTCTGGAACTCCTAGTTTTGTGTTCGATTCCAGTTTGCACATTTGTATCCTTACACCTTATAGCCTCAAACCAGTCTCCTGTCACTGACGGCACTAAATTGCTGACCTTACTGCACACGAATAAAACGAATACTACAAAATAAAAGAGGATACCAAACATTGTCACCAGAAGTGTCCGTCTCATGGCACAAATGATTGCTAAACTAAGCTCTCTCGAACTGCAAGTAACTGAAATGAAGCAAATGCTGGCGTACATTGAACCATCTTGTTGTGACCATCTTGATTGTTTAGATTGCATTTTGCGGGAGCCCAGATTGCGTTTCCAGAAGACCGATAGGTGCATGGAATATTTCATTTTATTCAGTAAAATCACTCCTGATGTTTTAGCTGTAAATAACGATGCTGATAAGTGTTACTAGCTAGGGGAATATAAAGGTGAAGCACAAAACGCGGTCGCACGATACGGACTAATCGAGACGCCCAACAAAATAGCGTTGCTCGATCTAATAAATGCAGTCCAGCGGTCTTCACCACTCGCTTAGTAATTTTAGTTAGGATTTTACACAGCTGACCCGGGCAAACCTCGTAATTTTCAGACTGCGACATATATCAACAACCTATCAGAACATCTCGACTTGGTCCAGATGGAAAGACTAGAATGCTCGCGAATGAACCCTGTCGCTTTCAATATTCCTTATATATTTTTCATTTGTACAAGGTAGAAACTGCATTTATGAGTGCTTGTAACGTGTCGGAGGTCGGATGCAAATATCTAAGAATTAAACTCAAAACACCCAAGCAGTGGTGCCTCATTATTTTTGGATTTTCCCTTGGAGAATCGGCACCCAGTTTCATGCGATGTCGGCTCGCTACAACCCCGTAGACTCAGTTTAAGGACCTATCTATTAAAAAAATATCTCTTCTTTACTTTACACCATGAACGTCTAAAACAGAGAAAACATGCAATTCAACGCCCTAATTACTTGCATTGAAAGCCATGACAATCAGTGTATTTGTACAATGCCTTTGATTACGCTCGAATCTCGGAGATTTTCAGCTTTGAAACGTGTCTCTTTTGTATCCACGTCCAGCAAAATTCGTAGCATTATTGTCGTCTATCGCTACCCCGACTCTGATGAAAAGACCTGTAATCCTAGATTGTTTGAATTTCAAACAATTTTGAACTGTTTCAAGCTCTTCAACCCTTCGAAGAAATGTGGAATTCTGTGGTACATTTATAACTTGTTTAGAACATATTTCTGCCGTTCTATCGCGTGAGAATGACCTATCCGGTTTCAAAATATAGGTTAACCATCTCGCTTAATGTGTTTTATTAGAGCGCTAGCTGGGCTATCGGTTCGACGTCCACTTATCAGACAGAGTACCTTGAATTGTGTCTAACACAAAAATGTGCGTCATCACTAAGGTTCTGTTATCTGTCTTGTTGGGCGTGCAATCATCTCCAGCACGTGCAAGGATTTTTCGAGCTGGTCTACGAATGCACAATGAAATCATAGCAATATCGCATGTCACATTCGTTTGAGGGCGCATTAGTGTGTTGTTTAGTTTTGCCATCAGCAGGGTCATGTGACCACATGTAACACCACATAGTGAAGTTCTGATGCATTCGGCGGGATTCATTCGGCACCTTCCATAGCTATGTCTGTGGTATCGATTACCCTTTTCGATCCTCCCTTGTGACAGTTCTGACCTTTATGCCTGCTGGTTGCGCACACCTCGAGAGCATGCGGTCTGTCATGTGAACAGCCAACGGTTAGCCCTTCCTTCATTGGCGCATCGACCTTTGATGGTCTCCACCATGATCGCCAGCGGTCGTCACTGCGCCCTGTCGAAATAAGATGCTACTGAAGAGCATAACCGTCAATCAAGCGTTTGCAATCAATTGATGGTGCCCTTGATTATAACCTACTGCATTAACAATGAAGAAGAAGAATTACGAAGCGATGCATGCGGCGGTAACGTATAGCCGACACATTCAAACTCGTTCCAGTTTCCTTGAATCAAATTCTGATAACAACTTGCAAATCCACATTTAATTATCAAAAAATGGGGCCAAAGATAAACCATCGATTTCGATGCTTTCTTATCAGACCTGTGCGATCACCTAAGGAAAATAGCAGTGGGTTTACAATCGACCGGATTAATTTAACTGAACCAAATCACATGCTCACCAGGTTAGTGAACAGAAAGGCAATCTTAGCTAGGGTGATTGCGTTTTCCATCCAGCGCTACTGGCTTCAGCGTCTCCTACTTTCACTGACCAAGGCAGCTACAAAGTCTGGATTCGTTTCTTTTGAGAACATAACGGAGGTTGTAGTAGCCGAATATCGATTGCCTCGGTTATTGCAAGCATACGGAAGCGTAAGCCTCTCGATTGCAACAGCGGGATCCTGTATATTATTCGAAAGGCACGGTTCACTTATACTTGATGCCCATTATCGACGAGGTGAAGCAGTATGGAGCCATCGTGGATCATGGCCTGTCGAGATAGGCTCTCACCCAACGAGCGATCTGTTTATTGTACCAGCAAGCAAACTAGAGCTCCCTACCTGCACTTCGACGGAGTTGCTTTACTTGCTTGTACATCGGAAGTAGAGCAGGAACAGGATCGCACCATATTTTCATACCCGTGAGCTCGCTTTATTATTTTTGTATCATGGACTAAATAGTTTTTCTTTTCTATTTGTTGTTGATGTGTTGTTACTTTGTAATACTTTGCAATTTTAGTACTATATGGGAGCTTTTCCCCCTACTTAACTAGCTCTGCATATAGTGTTTCCCGGGTGTTTTCGATTTCTCTGCGTTGGTCATGGAGTCAACAGACATTGTGGCGAGTATAGCTGCAAGGGTGTATTAGAGAAAGGTATTTAATGTGGCTGCTGCTTACTATGGTGCCACAATGTTTGTTCACGGTGGGATGAGGAGTCGATTGATGTACATACATTTTACCCCAAATTGAAGTGGGTTTGTTTTCATTGTGTGTGTTTGACGGACAGTTGTTCGCGTTTGCTGAGTAGGTAACTTTTGATTCCCCCTCGTCACGTCACTGATAGGCAACCAGCCTCAGACGAGGAAGATCTGCATAGCCTCAGTATGGCAGAAATGATGATCTTGGAACAGCGATCTATCATCAAAGAGCTCCAAGCAAAGGTTGATGAAATGCACTCACCCTAAGCAGTGTATGCGCAACGCTAAAATTGCTATTGGCAGTCAGAGGAATGTGTTTATTTTCAACTGGGAAGAGCCGATGGTGCAAGAGGCTAAAACTAGGCGTGAGTTGGATAAGAGACGTGTTCAAGATTTACTACATATTGTCGCTATATCGCTTCTCGTTAGCATAAAAATGATCCATCGAGTTCGCAGTTGGAAGAAAGTAAACGCTTTGCACCAAAAGGTACTTGCAAGGCAGATCTTAGTAGAGTTAAAAACCCCTGTATATCGGTATCTTCTTAACCGAGCGGGTCTGTTAGTTGATCAGACAAATAATCGTTACCAGGTGACCTCAAACACGCTCGTATCAGGCGCCCAACTCACGTCATTAGTACCGTCTCATAACGTGAACATCGGTCCTGTTGTACCAGTGGAAAAGGCACTCTATCATAACCTCGGTGTCCGTAATATGCTATATGGAGATCGTGGGGTTCATTGTTCTCAGGTGGATACTTCTGTCGCTCCACCTAACACGGTTCGACCTTCTGGAGGCTACTCAAAGGGTACCACCTTCGAATGATTCCAATGATATATTGGGCTGGCCTTCAGAACAACCTCGTGGTGCCTGCTGGGTGGCTCGGGATTATCTCGGTCCAGCCAATGGTTCTGCGGCAGTGTTCCAGGACGTGGTGCGTTTTCGCCTGGTAGGCGTTCTCCCTATACATAGCCACATATGTCCGTTTATAACACTGCGACGTGGCAGATGTGACTCACTACTAAACAGTGTCACTGCCCCTTGTTTCACCTTGGTGAAGCATTGTATCCCAACACCTTCCTGCTGAAATCGTGGGGTGGATTGAGCCGCTGTTTGGTTACTTACCAAAAGAAAGGCCTATGAACTGAGCACTCAGTCATCGGCTCCCAATGGGCGCGATTCCCTGAATTCGTTTCGCTGCCTTGCGGGCAAGCTATTCAGCCAAAGGCTCAGGGTGGCGTCCCCTAAGTCAACACCCTACTTCGGCTTGGACAACCGGGTAGTATCGTGCCAATTGTAAAAACCATAGATTTCGCAATTACTACTACATCCCTCACTTCTGCTGCTACTTTCCTTGCTACCATTGCTTCTGCATCACACGCCAAGCTTTTCTCTTGTTGGTAATCCATAACCTGTTGAATATATTTCCAATTCCCCTCTCGCCGATATCCAACTCGTCCGGCCACCTCCCATCCTTTGACCCGTTCTTCATTCCGCCTCGCAGCGTTCCATATTCGGACCCTCCTACAGAATGGATAGCTGGATGGACTGGCGTACACTTTAGAGTCCCTTGCCATCAATGTGTGTTGCCTTTCAAAAGTTTGATTGCAGGAAGCATATATTACCTACATCTTTCAGGTGACATTGAGGCAGCAGCAGCCGGCTCGGCTAGTGTCGGTATCGCATTGAGTGACAAAGCGGAGGCTGCATTCCTCGATTGGTTTCCAATCGACAGCCGGCTTTGTGTGGTTCGGCTTCACAGCTCATGTAGAATCAACAGACATCGTGAAGAGAGACGCAACTTGTTTGTCGTTGCTGCCCCTACTCCAACTGACTGACGCTGTGCTTCGATTAAGGATGACTTTTATCGTGGATTCCACAACCTTGAACAAGACCTCAAAAGTCAGATATTATCGTTCTTGCCGGAGATCTCAATACATGGGTAGGTCGCCTGCTTCCCTGAGTACGTCATCTTGATGGCAGTCAGGTGCTTGATGAGAGTCGTTCTGACAACGGTGATAGACTTCTTACTTTATGCGAAGACCACCGACTTTTTCTCTCAAGTACGAGCTTTTGGCATACCAGAAGACGTGCAACCACCTGGCGTCCTCCTTCATCAGCGCTAGCGTGCTCACAACTAGGTCACATTGCAATCGTCTTTAGCTGACGACGCAGCGTCCGCGAGTGTAGATCGGTTTGGTCTACGTACCTCGATTCAGATCATGGTTTGGCCTGCGCTGACATCTGCAGGCACTTCGGCGGTTGCTGGCTTGCCGAACTGCCTCCTCGTGGTGCCAGCTGGGTGGTTCGGGTGTACCCCGTTCCAGCAAAGTGTTCGGCGACAGTGTTCCACCTCCGTGGGGCATTGTATTCCAGCAATTGTGCTGATTTCATGGGGAGTATTGGGTTCCTGTTTGGTAATCTACCAAACAAAGACGCATGAACTGAACATTCAGTCAACGCCTCCCAATGGGCGCGATTCCCCAAATTCGCCCCGCTGCCTTGCGGGTAGGTTATTTAGCCAAAAGCTCGGAGTGGAGTCGCTTAAGTCAACTCCCTACTTCGGCTTGGGCTACCGAGTAGTATCACGCCCTCTCACAAAACCATGGACTGTATTACAACGCGCTGATCATCTACTGTTCCTGTTACTCACTTTCACGCTACTTCATCACACGCCAATTGTTTGTTTGCTAACAATTCTCACTTTCGGTTACCCGATTCATCTGTTCAACAATCTGGCTGCGATTCCGGTTGCTCCGCAGATCAAGTAGTTCAACCTATGGCTCTCCTTCGTCTCCGATTCTCGTTCTGTCTCGCGTGCTTCAACGTTCGGACACTCATGCAGAATGGACAGCAAGCCGGTTTAGCGCGCACCCTAGGTTCCCTAGACATTGATGTCTGCTGCCTTTCAGAAACCCGATTGCAAGATCCCAGCACTGTACTTACATTGACATCCCCACTGACCACGAAGCCAGATATCGCCTGCGTCTTTCTGGAGATCCAGAAGCAGCCTCAGCCGGTTTTGCTGGTGTAGGTATAGCACTGAGTGGCAAGGCCGAGGCGACACTACTGGACTGGTTCCCAATTAACAGCCGACTATGTGCAGTTCGGCTTCCGGGTTCATGTAGAATCAACAGGCACCGCGAAGAGACGCAACTTGTTTATGATCTCCGTGTACGCTCCAACTGACTGCAGTGGCGAATCGGTCAAGGACGAATTCTACCGAGATCTACATCAGCTCTTGACTAACGCTAAAAAGTCGGATGTCGTTATCCTTGCTGGGGATTTTAATGCACGGGTTGGCCGCCTGTTACCATACGAACGCCACCTTGGTGGTCATCACGCGCTCGATGAGAACCGCTCTGATAACGGAGAGAGACTTCTCACATTGTGCGAGGACAACCGTCTGTTTCTTTCGAGCACTAGCTTCAGGCGTACGAAGAAGCGTTCCGCAACGTGGCGTTCCCCTTCGCCAACACAAGCGTAGTCTCAAATTGATCACATTGCAATTAGCTTCAGATGGCGCGGCAGCGTACTGGACTGCAGGTCCTTTTGGTTCACTTTCGTTGATTCAGATCATGCTCTAGTCTGCGCGAAAATCTGTATGTGTTTTGGAGGATCCCGAAACGTGAAGCACCGCAAGATTGATGTAAACAGATTAACTGATTCCTCTGTCCAAGAGAGCTATCGGTTTTCACTGACATATGCGCTCAGTTGCAATCCACCGCAAGAAGTGGAACAACACTGGACTTGTATACGGAAAGCGATGACCATTTCCGAACAGTCATGCTGCGACCTAACTCGACACCCCTTGAAGGCTTGGATCTCTGCTCGTTCTCTGGAGCTGTTCGAACGCCGCATAAATATCCCCGCGGAATCAGATTGCAACGAGCGGCGCCGTTCTGCCAACCGGCTGCTCAAGCAAAGCCTACGCAAGGATCGCGGGACATGGTGGTCTGATCGTGCTTTATAGATAGAGACTGCTACCCTCTCTGGCAACACTCGAAGGCTTTTCCAATTCATTCGGTCCACTGGCCTCAGGAAGCCTGGTGTCAGTGAGGTCATTTGTGAGGTGGATGAGTCTCAGATCACCAACCAACAGAGGCGTATGGACTGCTGGGCCGAGCACTTTCACTCGCACTTCAACTGGTCTCCACCATCCATCAGTACATGCAGTACACATTGTTGTCCACCCTGGTTGGTCCCATTGAATCCACCCAGCGAAGCAGAAGTCTGCCTCGAAATTCGACGCTTGGAGTGGTTCAAGGCTGCCGGCTTAGACGGACTTCCTCCGGAGCTATTCAAGTACGGCGGTGTGGCGATCATTAATCAGCTAACCGCGTTGTTCGCAAGAATTTGGCATGAAGAGAAAGTACCTTCCTCTTGGGGCGAATCAGTTATTGTCCCAATTTTCAAGAAAAGCGCTCGCACTTCACGTGCAAATCATCGCGGGATTAGTTTTATTTTGGCTGCGTCTAAGCTATTGGCATCCATTCTGCTTTGCAAACTATCCCCAGTGCGTGAATCATACTACCTGAAGAACAAGCTGGTTTCCGTCCTGGCCGCGGATGCGTGAATCAAATCTTCACGCTCCACCAACTCGTTGAACATCGCCACATTTATCACAGGCCCACTGTCGTTGCATTCACGGACATACGTGCCGTTTTTGACTCCGTTGATCGACCTACTTTATGGCGTCGCTTGCTAAAGAAGGGGGTGTCAGAGAAATATACCACCATCTTACGAGCACTTTACCTTCATACATGCAGCAGAGTGAGGGTCTATGGCAAGCTTTCCTCGCAGTTCGTTGTCAATAGCGGTGTGCAACAGGGCTGCCTTATGTCCCCATTCCTCTTCAACTTCGCAATCGAAGACGTTCTGTCGAATGCCCTAGAAGGTTTCCAACATTTCGGCCTAGAGCTCCTACCGGGTGAGCGCGCGACCGACTTAGATTATGCTGATGATATCGCCTTACTTGGTGACGATCCTCAGGGTATGCAACTCATTCTGGATCGTTTGGCGGTTGCAGCATCTAAGTATGGCATGAGCTTCGCCCCATCGAAGTGTAAAGTACTGCTCAAGGATTGGCTTTCAACTGCTCCCGTACTCACTTTCCAAGGTGCACAACTTGAACAGGTAGATAGTTTCGTCTACCTTGGGAGCTGTGTTTCCGCTGACGGCACTATCAACAAAGAAGTTTCGCTTCGTATCGCTAAAGCTCGACCAACATTTGTCAATCTGAGGCACTTGTGGCGTCGTCGCGACGTCTCATTCTCACTAAAGGGCCGAGTTTACAGCGCATCAGTTCGCTCAGTATTGTTGTATGGGAGCGAGTCCTGGCCCATTCGCGTGGAAGGCATGCGTCGTCTTTCTGCGTTCGATAACGGTTGCTTAAGGAGGATCGCTCGTGTTCGGTGGCAACATCGAGTTACCAGTAATGACGTTCGACGTCGCATCTTGGGGAATGGAAGTATTTCCTTCAACAAACTGGTTTTGTTGCGCCAGTTAAGATGGCTCGGTCATGTCCTACGCATGGCACCTGAGGGTCTACCGCGTCGCGCTCTATTCGCTCGTCAAGGACCTGGCTGGAAGCGACCGCGTGGTGGTCAGCCTTCCGCTTGGCGGCAGCACATGAAATCTCTGACGTCGTGTCTAGCCGCTGTTGGACCCGCACGTCTTCCAGGATGGGGACCCAAAGATGAGGAGTGCCAATGGCTTAGGACTCTTGAAGACATGGCCCGCACCTGGAATCAGTTGAAGAATTGTGTACAGTGTTGTATTGATTCACATGTTTAATACTACCAAAATTGAAAATGACAAAAAAGAGCAAAAACGGCGTGTGAGAAACAAACTATGTCAAAATGTTTCATTCTTCTTGCGACATATTAGCTGATGTGTGTTGCCCACCTTCGACTACCATGCAACGATGATTATGACGCAATGACTGTCTCCTATCCACTGATCTCCATGGGTTTATTGGCTCTCTGTCTGGTTGTTAGACTGTTGAGATTACATACTTACATACCATAAGCTGTACACAAACAAATTAGTTGACCCCTCTATTTGATCAGCTTATAAAGCTTCCTTGTCGCATGGATTCATTAGTACTCCACCTCGAGGCATCGAAGCTTATTGGATTTTCCTGCGTGCATCCATGCTATTATACAGTCATTCAATTTGCGCCCTCTTAGGGGCTGGATTTCCGCACACTCACTGGAATTGTTTGATCGTCACGATTCGAACAGCAGTGCATTGCGTCGCATCCTAAGCCAAAACTTAAGCAAAGCTTGCGAGCTGTTCGCGAAACTGGGTGGTCCGAGTGCGTCTCAGAGATGGAAACGGCAGCCCTCTCTGGAAACTTTCGCAAGCTCTTCCAGGTCATTCGGTCACTGATCACAAAGGACCTCTTGTCAGTGAGGTCATTTGCGAGGTTGACGGAATGCTTATCACCAGCTTACATAGGCGGATAGACCGCTGGGGTGAACACTTCCGCACTCAATTCAGGTGGCGTCCGCCGGCGAACCTAATGGGTCTACTTAGTTGTGCGCTTTGGAACGTCTGATTGGAACCACTCACGGAAGCTGAGGTCTGCCTTGAGCTCTGACACTTGAAACGATTCAAGTCTACTGGCCCAAACGGACTTCCTCCGGAGCTGTTCAAGTTCTGTGGCGAAGCAATTGCCAACCAGCTAACAGCTCTGTTCTCTAAGATTTGGTGTAAAGAAATCATTCCATCCACTCGGGGTGAGTTAATTGTCGTCTCGATCTTCAAGTAGGGTGCCCGTACTATATGTGCTAACCACCGAGGAACCAGTCTAATGTCCGTTGATTCTAAGCTGTTAAAACCCATCCTACTCCGCAGACTAATCCCGATTCGAGAATTGCGCTCTTGTGAAGACCAGGCTGGTTTTCGCCCCGGTCGTGAGTACATAGACCACTTTTCTACGCTCCGCCAACTCCTTGAAGCGCGTCATCTTTACCGCCAGCCCATTCGAGCCGCTTTCGAACCCGTCGATCGGCCATCTTTATGGCGTTGCTTACAAAGGAATGGAGTACCCAAAACTATATCGCCATCCTTTGAGTGTTATATTGCAATGTCCCAGATAAAATGAGAGCTTATGGTAAGCTCTCTTCACCTTACGCCGTCACTGGCGGTGTGCGACAATTTACCCCATGTCCCCGTTTCTCTTCGATTTAGCAATCAAGAATATCCTTTTAAACGCTCTCAAGGGCTTTTAGGGTTCTGGTGCATGCCTTCTTTCTGGCAACCGCGTGACCGATTTAGATTATGCTGTTGATATTGCCTTGCTTGTTGGTGACGCACAGAGCACACAGGTTGTTCCATACCGCTTAGCGATTGAAGCAGCTAAATATGGAATGACCTTTGCCACTACGAGATGCAAAATCCTGGTCCTGGATCGGCATCCACCTGCACCAGTGCTCACTCTTTACGGTACGCAGCTTGAACAAGTGGACAACTTCGTTTACCTGGGAGCTTGTGTCTCTGTTGATGGTAGCATTGAAAAAGAGATTTCACTCCCCATTGCCAAAGCCCGTTCGGTGTTCGGCATCTGTAGCGACGCCGTGTCGTTACTATTTTGCTAAACTGCGGGGTCTACAATGCCTGTGTTCGTGCGGTGCTGCTGTATCGGAATGCGTCCTGGCCGATTCGTGAGAATGACTTGCGTTGGATTTCGGCCTTTGACAATGGGTGTATGCGGAGAATATCGAGCGTGGTCGATGAAGCACGTGCGCAACGATGATGCTAGTCTTCGCGTCTTGGGTAACACGGGACTTCGACTTGGCAGTCTGGTACCGATGCGCCAACTGAGATGATTGGGACACATTGTACACATGTCATATGAACGGCTGCCCCGACGCGCTCTCTTCGCTCTCACAAGACCAGACTGGAAGAAATCGCGCGTTGGTCGGCCTATCACGTGGCGACAAACGGTTAAAGCGCTGATTTCCAGTTTAGCTGCCGCAGGTCCTGCGCGTCTTCCGGACTGGAGGATCAAAGATGGGGAACACCGCTGCCTGGAAACTCCTTCGAAGATGGCGCAGAGTTGGACCCAATGGCAAATGTTCGTTTTAATTTACACTGCAAACATTAAACAGACAAAAAGTGATACCACGGCATGTGAAAAAGACTAACAAGTTTTAAAATCAGAGAAAATTTTTTAACATTCATCCTTTTATTCCTCCTTGTGGTCCCTGTATTTATTACTTCCATTTCATGGTTTTCGCTGGCTCTATGTCTATCTTGTAGACTGTGGATTATATATATATATATATATATATATATATATATATATATATATATATATATATATATATATATATATATATATATATATATATATATATATATATGCCTGCTACTTCCTATAAATTGGCTAAAACAGTTTGAGCATTTCTTCGAAAGTCGTATGTAGGACACGACGCCGTGGGATCTGCTAGATATATTCTTTCTGTGATCGCG